GGGTTCTGACTTCGATGAAAGAAGAAGGAGGAGAGCGGGAGGCAAGGATCAGGCAGACGAAAGCCCGATGAAAGAAGAAGGAGGAGAGCGGGAGGCAAGGATCAGGCAGACGAAAACCCTTTTAGGCTTTACCCGGCGTGTGGGCATGCCCTTTGAGCACGAAGTGGCCTACAGTTGGCTCCGGGCATTGAAAATGTGGCCCTGGAATGGAGTTCTGGTGTCGAAGAGCGCGAAGTGGCTTACAGTTGGCTCCGGCCACTCAAAATGTAGCCCGGGAATGGAGTTCTGGGAGGTCGAAGAGCACGAAGTGTGTGACTGTTGACGAAAAACGAACCCGGCTCTGTTCCCGGTTCTCCAGAAAGTGGCCCGGGAATCGAGTTTTGGGAGGTCGAAGAGCACGAAGTGTGTGACTGTTGGCGAAAAGCGAGCCCGGCTCTGTTCCCGGTTCTCCAGAATGTGGCCCGGGAAACCTATCAGCAAAAGCTGTTATAGGTAAATATGGGAAGTGGGGAGGAAGACAAAAACCCAGAAAATAGGGGAAATATGGGGATTTTTTTGTTTGTGTGTATTTATTTGTGTGTCCTGGGGCCCCTTCGTCGACCACCGAGTCAAACCTTGCCTCGGGGCCCGGGCGCCCGCGCCCTGCCTTTTTGGGGTGTTCGCGCCTGGCCTCGGCGCCGGGTGGGGGCTGGCCTTGCCGCCCGCCCCTGGCGCGCGCCTTGCCCCCCCCCCCTCCCGCTCTGGCGCCCGCGCCCTGGCCGCAGGGTTCGGGTGCCCCTGCTGCGCCTGCCCCCCCCCTGACGTCGCTCCTGGGCGGAGGCCGCTGCCCCCGCCCTGTGGCGTCTCCTGCTTCGGCTCCGCCCGCGCGGGTGGAATCTCGCCGGCCCTCTGCTGGCTGTGGGCGCCGGGCCCGCGCCCGCGGCCTCCTCCCCTGGGCAGCCTCTGCGCTGCGTCGTGGTGCGGGTCCTGCGCCGCACCGCTCAGAGCTCCGAATCATCAGGGGTAACTCGGGTCGGGGCTAACTCGGGCTCGTTTCTCGGGAATCCAGACCCGAGTTACCCCGGACCCGAGTTACCCCGGATCACTCGGGCGCCCTGGATCACCCCGAGTTATCAGGAGGAGGAGGAGGAGGAGGAGGAGGAGGAGGAGGAGGAGGAGGAGGAGGAGGAGGAGGAGGAGGAGGAGGAGGAGGAGGGAGGAGGAGGAGGAGGAGGAGGAGGAGGAGGAGGAGGAGGAGGAGGAGGAGGAGGAGGAGGAGGAGGAGGAGGAGGAGAGGAGGAGGAGGAGGAGGAGGAGGAGGAGGGAGGAGGAGGAGTGCTCGTGGTGCGGGTCCTGCGCCGCACCGGGGCCCGGTGGGCCTCGCCCCCCCCCCCCCCCCCCGCCGCCCCCCTGCGTTCCTGCCCGCCCCGCGGGTCTGCCTCCTCCCCTGGGCTGGCGCCCCCCGCTCGCCTCTCGGCCCGCCTGGCTCGCTGGCCAGCCCTGCCGTGGAGTCGGGCGTGTCCCCCTATACGGAGGGATTGTCGACGAAAAATAATAATTATCCCGGCAAAGCAACCTAACAGCGATATGTAGAAGCATATCTGAAAGCATTCCCCTTACGATTCAGATGAAAATCCAGTTGTAGAATTCTGCTGTTCTCGCAGTCGTAGTCGCATTCGCGATGACAGTCGCAGCGGCAACGGCAGTCGCAGTCACAGCCTCAGCCTCAGCCTGCCTCAGCCTCAGCCTCAGCCTGCCTCAGCCTCAGCCTGCCTCAGCCTCAGCCTCAGCCTGCTTCAGCCTCAGCCTCAGTCTGCCTTCAGCCTCGGCCTCAGCCTCAGCCTGCCTCAGCCTCAGCCTGCATCAGCCTCAGCCTCAGCCTCAGCCTGCCTCAGCATCAGCCTGCTTCAGCCTCAGCCTCAGCCTGCCTCAGCCTCAGCCTCAGTCTGCTTCAGCCTCAGCCTCAGTCTGCCTTCAGCCTCGGCCTCAGCCTCAGCCTGCCTCAGCCTCAGCCTGCCTCGGCCGCAGCATCAGCCTGCCTCAGCATTCAAAATGTGGCCCAGGAATGGAGTTCTGGGAACTAGAAGAACACGAAGTGGCCTACAGTTGGCTCCGGGCATTCAAAATCATGCCCAGGAATGGAGTTCTGGGAACTTGAAGAGCACGAAGTGGCCTACAGTTGGCTCCGGGCATCCAAAATGTGGCCCGGGAATGGAGTTCTGGGAAATCGAAGAGCACGAAGTGGCCTACAGTTGGCTCCGGGCATCCAAAATGTGGCCCGGGAATGGAGTTCTGGGAACTCGAAGAGCACGAAGTGGCCTACAGTTGGCTCCGGGCACTCAAAATGTAGCCCGGGAATGGAGTTCTGGGAGGTCGAAGAGCACGAAGTGTGTGACTGTTGACGAAAAACGAGCCTGGCTCTGTTCCCGGTTCTCCAGAAAGTGACCCGGGAATCGAGTTCTGGGAGGTCGAAGAGTGTGTGACTGTTGGCGAAAAGCGAGCCCGGCTCTGTTCCCGGTTCTCCAGAATGTGGCCCGGGAATGGAGTTCTGGGAGGTCGAAGAGCACGAAGTGTGTGACTGTTGGCGAAAAACGATTCCCGGTTCTCCTCCCCGGCACCCGCCCAGACCCCCCTGAGGAGTTTTGACCCTACTAGAAACCTATCAGCAAACGCTGTTAGGTAAATACCCCTAAACATATTCCAAATTAGTTCAAAATAGTCAGGGGACTGTGTTTTGGGTTTAGGGTTTAGGGTTTATTTCAAATTTATAGGTTCGTGTCACTTCTTGTTCCCCTATGGCACGCTGCTCTTCCCTGCCGCGCCCCCCGTTCCCTGCCGTCCCGGCCGGGCGCCTGCCGCCCCGGCCCTGGCGGGCCCAGCGGCAGTCGCGGCCTGGCACCTCGGGCGCCGCCCCCGCTCCCCTGCCGGTGGGCCCCGCGGTCCGTCGCTCCATCCTCTGGCCGGCCCAGGTGGTGGCCTCGTCCCTGTCGCTGCCCTGGGCGCCTCGCAGGTCACATGGTGGCCTCGGCACCCGGGACTCCCGCTGGTCGCCGCCTTCGCTCTCCCAGTTCGTGCTGGGCGCTGCCCCCCCCCCCCCCCGGCGCCGCTTCCTGCTGCCGCCTGGCCTCCCCCCCCCAAAGCTGTTTCGCCGCTGCTGGCCCCTGCCCCCAGCGCTGCCCCGCCGCCGCCTGGCCCCGTTCTGAGCGGGCCTGGCACCCGGTCTCCTCCTGCCCGCGCCGGGCGTCCTCCTTTCTCCCCCGTGCATTGCGGCTTAATTTGCGTCTTGTGTGCCCCACTAATGCGACATCGCCAGCGCAGTCACTCTGCCTAGCCGCCGCCGCCGCCGCCGCAAAGAGTGTGTATGTGCGCGCGTGCGTGCGTGAGTGCGTGCGATCGTGTATGTGTGTGTGTGTGTGTATATGTGTCTTTGTGTGTCCGTGCGTCAGCCTTATCGGTAGGGCAAGCTGAGGCGGAACTTCTGTTCTGAAAGCGGACCGCATTACACTCCTTTTGTCTTTCGAGTTCTTATTCAGAGCAATTGGTGATGCAGTGTAAAGTCTAGGCGAGAGCGCGATTTTGCAATTCTGGCAGCCCTCTAGTCGTGTAAGCGCCGGGAGCTTGGGTTCTTTTGGCTTTTGGGCCGTCGCTTGCAGCACGTGTCCAGGCGAAGCGCCCACCGGGCCGTGCCGACATGGTGCGGCATTCGTTTTAGGTAACGGTGGCCCGCAGATACGCGGATGGCGAGCGGCTCCTTCTCAAAACGTGGCATTCGCTTTGGCGCCGCGCACACCTGGTCCCGATGTTTCGATCAGTGGCAGGGGTGCAGGGCGGTTCTTTTAAACGTGGGTTTTCGTTACATGTTTCTTCGGCATGTATGGTTACATGTTGGATCGTGCCATGTCGTTACGCAAGTGGAGGGCCGTCTCGTTTCAAGCAGGTGGTCTCGTTTGGGGTCCCCGCACATGTGACGACCCTAGAATTGTGAGCTCGAGCGGCAGATTCACGAAGGCGGCCCCTTTTCACCGCGGGCCTCTGGATGGACAGCTTATTAACTTTGTGAACCTACCTCTCGGCATCTCGGCACTTTCTGTCGGGCGGGGCTAGGACGAGGACAAATCCCTTCGAGAGGGTTCCTGAACGCCCTCAGAGCGTTCCGGAACGCCCTGAGAAGGCCGCGGCGCCCGATCGCTCTTCCAGGGCCGCCGGACCTCAGAAAGTCTGGATTTATCCTCGTCCAAACTTCAATCCCCGTCCTGGCTTTGTCTTACTTCGGCACAAAAACTCGACCTCCACCTCCACCTCCTCCTCCTCCTCCTCCTCCTCCTCCTCCTCCTCCTCCTCCTCCTCCTCCTCCTCCTCCTCCTCCCCCTCCTCCTCTTTTGAAATCCGCTCAATGTTGGCCCCTGGACCTCTCCCGGGACCTCTCCCGCTTGTCTTCTGTCCTGGATCGACTCTCGACGGTCCCAGGGGCGCCGAGAGAGCCTATTCTGGGAGGCCGAGGGCGGCGAAGCCGAAACACCTCTTCGAACTTCCTCCTTCCCAGAATTCCGACTCCCAGAACTCCGACGCCGTTATTTCTTGTCTTACATAATATTTTTCAAATAAAAAATAGCGTGGACCCCGGATGTCCCGACTTACTCTGTAAACGTTTTGTGTTGAAGTCATACCAGACTTCAACAACATCGATCTACTATGTAAACCTGTTTCTTTGGTTGAAAATCAGATCTAAGTTCAAAACATATGTACACTCTGTAAACGTGTTTTTTGAAGTGTAGAATTCCGACGCCGCGATCTTTTCACAACATGGGCCCCCGAAGGTCCTGACTCATTCCTCGGGGCCCGCTTCTCATCCCGAGCCGTTTTTGACGTTTTCGGGGCAGTGCGAGGTCCCGCAGAGGCCGAAAACAGCAATACATTGTCCACCGTGGTGTGTTTCATGTCAAGAACAATTGGGGGTCTCCCCACCCCGTGACGACGAAAACGAGGACGACGACGATGGCGGCGGTGACGACGACCCAAAGGCTGGAAGAGCGCTGCGAGTTCGGCGAGGGCGACATCGGGCTCGCGGGCGGCATCCAGGTGTTCGAGCCCGCCAACGCGAACATCACCACGGCGGCAGGGATCCAACGAGAAGCTGCCCCTCGTCTCTCCTTCTCTTCCTCCTCCCGTCTCTCTTCCTCTTCCTCCGCCTGTCTCTCCCCCTCCTCCTCCTCCTCCTCCTCCTCCTCCTCCTCCTCCTCCTCCTCCTCCTCCTATCTCTTCTCTGCCTCCTTTTCCTCCTGTCTCTCCTCCTCCTCCTCCTCCTCCTCTTCCTCCTCCTCCTCCTTTCCTCCTCCTCCTCCTGCTGTCCCTCGTCCTCCTCCTGTCTCGCCTCCTCCTCCTCCTCCTGTCTCTCCTCCTCCTCCTGTCCCTCCTCCGCCTCCTCCTCCTCCTCCTCCTCCTCCTCCTGTCTCTCCTCCTCCTTCTCCGTCGAGGCTGAGATTTGTTCACTCATCAGTGTTTCCGCTGAAGAGGTTCTAGCGGCAATCGAAAGATTTGGCGAAAGTTCCAGGCCGATGTCGGTGGACGGCCAGGTTCCGGGTTCCCAGTTCCGGGTTCTGGCGGAAGTGCTGGGTTCTTTCTCCTATCCTCCTCCTCCTCCTCCTCTTCCTCCTCTTCCTCCTGTCTCTCCTCTTCTCTTCTCCTCTTTCTAGGCTAGGATTCATGATGCTGGACCCCTGGAGGCGATGGATACAGACATGTTTGGCTCCCCCCATAGGGCCCAACCATGGCCATGTCCACCACCCCCTTGAGTTCTAAGACATCGGTTCGCGGCGGATATGTGTGAACTTCAGTCTCGTACCTCATCTTCTTTGTCCTCAGGACTTCGACACTGTGTTTTTTTTCGCAACGTGGACCCGCGAAGGTCCCGACGCCTTCTCCAGGATCGGTTTTTCATCGCGGGTTGCTGTTTGACGGTCCCAAGGCCAGGCGAGTACACCTTGGAGGCCAAATATTTCAAACGTTTGTCCGTCGCGGTTAGTTCACGACGAGAGGAGGTGGAAGTTCTTTTCCCCACGCAGACTTTGCAGGCAGATTCGGGGCCTCATCGGCGGTTCCCTCCCGGCGCAGCGCAGGTTGCCGGCGGCGTCAGCGCCATAGGCCGGGTGTTACTTGGAGCTGTCTTGGCCCTGCAACCGCTGGTCAGGGGCATCCTCGGGAAGATGTTCGGCCGAGATCGCTCCAGTATGGATGTAGATAGCCCAACCTCCAAGACGGCGCGAGACTGTTCCCCCCCTGTGCCGGGCGCCGGGTGTGCCAGAAGCCCCCGCCGGCCTTCCGAGACGCGCTCGAGAGGCGCTGGGCCGATCGGTGGTGGCCAAGCCCGCCACGAGGCCTCGCAGCGGGCGGCATCGCACGACTTCCCCAGACCAGGGTCAGGGTCATATATTCCAGGTGTTCGGGCGATCTCGTCGGATCCTGGAGGCTTTCCAGCCCCTCATGCAGGACCCTGCAAGGCCTGACTGACCCAGCTTTGGATTGACCCGGGTCAGTGGATCCCCGAATGCAGAGGCCGTTTCCTGGCCCCGGGGCCATCAATGAAGATCTAGCTCGGGGTGGAAAACTGATCCTGGGGAAGGGGTCGAGATTCGTTGATGCACGGTGCGAAACGACAACGCACGCAACTCTATTGATCGTGCACGAGCTCATGCTATTCCTTCTGAGTCGTATGCCATAGTATTGCTTGGTAGTGCGAGTCACTGCCAATCAACCCGGTGAAGGGAAATTCTACCCCAAGAAAGGGGTCGAGATCTCTGGGTGTCCACGCTGTGCAGACGTCACGAAGTCTGGGGTCGGGGGACCCGTGCGGTTTGCCCCGCTGGGCGCTGCGGAGACGGACAGGGGCCTCTCCTGCGGCGCACCCTGGCCCTCGGCGGCAGGCGGCGGCGAAAGCCGGCGAGCGTCGGCGGAGGTGGAAGGGCGGCAGGCCTGCTGGCGGAAGTGAGAGCGAGGCGCCATTCCCTGTGGATTCTCAGGGTTTCTGGCCTCGTGCTCAGGATTCGCCATGCCTTGTGGATTCGCCATCCCTTGTGGATTCTCCATTCCTTGTGGATTCTCATTCCTTGTGCTCAGGTTTCTGGCCTTGTGGATTCGCCATTCCTTGTGGATTCTCAGGATTCCTGCGTGCGCGCTCGTGGCCGGGCTGACTGTGCGCGTTGGCGCCTTGTCGCCTGCGCCACTGGCCAGCAGATCCAGGAGTGGCGGGGGAGTGCGCGCGAGGCATCCGGCCTCGGCGGGGCCTCGTCGTGGGACCCTTCGCTCGTCCCCTCCTCCTTCGCGGACCATCGCGTGCGCGCGTCGCACGCGAGGGAGAGCGTGGCACTGTGATGGAGCAGTCGCTCAGAAGGGGAGGCACAGCATGCGTTTGCATCGTTTTTGGGTACGCGACCACGAGGGCCTGGCGATGCCTGGAACCGGGGGTGCGGCAAGCATGCGCGTTCTTGTCCTAAAATCGCAGGGAGGGAGCCCTCGTCTGATGCGTGCCCGGCTGCGTCCGCCGCGACGCGGCCGACCGCGGGTTGCGAGGGGCGCATGGTCGCGAAGCGGCTGCATCCTGTCCCCTGTCCAGCCTTGTCTCCCCCGCTGGCATGGCATGCATGGTGGCATGGTGGGTGCACTCAACCTCTTCCTCCTCCTCCTCCTCCTCCTCCTCATCCTCCTCCTTGCTCGCAAACGACCATGGGGACGATGAATGTCTCTGTGTCTGAACTTGCCTACATATGCAGGAAGCATGCACGAGCAGGGGAAGGAAGGAGGAGGAGGACAGGAAGGGGGTTGGCCTCGATGTCTCGGCTCCATGGTCCTGGCCCTTGGAACGCGGTCCTGGTACGGGTCCAGCTGGGCCAGGAGGGGAACCAACTCAGGATCGGAAATCGGACCTGCAGCACTCCCTGGAACATCGTTGAGGCTACTGATGCTCGCGTGCATGCTGGCTGCCAGTTGCTCGTCGAGACTCCTGCTGCTTTATCTTCTAGCAGCTCTGACCTGCGTTGCCCGAAGTTCAGGGCAATGACCGACGGCACGGTCGATTCGCAAGATGGAAGAGAAAAACGAATAACCTGCCTGCTCTGGCCTTGTCCACTCATTTTGGAGAAGGTGGCGGGCCTCTGGCAAAGGCAATATGTATGAATCTGAAAGTGTCTCTGAGAACTTCAATGAAAAGCACGAGCCTGAAACCGCACACGCAAGCGCACAGCTCATATACGCCCCCAGAGCGAGGATGGCATTATTCACGGATTTCGTATGCGATCCTTGCATCCACGGGAGCCCTCGTTGATGTTCATCTTTGCGCAATGTGTCATTCAAGTCACTGTCGCTGTCCATCATCTGCCTCAGGGAAGTTGAAGGAGAGACTGCCAGGACAGCACTGACACGCTTGGACAGGATCAGATCAAGAAGACGCCTGAGCCCCTTGGTCAGGTCAAACTCTGGATTGCCAACTGCAGCAGTTAGGACAGCAAGGTCAGTCTGGGGATCTCTGTTATGAATCTCCAGGAAGTGCTGAACATCATAATCCTTACGCTTGTATTGTGTGACATGCAGTACATATGTAGTATGCTCGGTTTGGAGCAGGAGCAGTTCAACTTACCTGCTCTTCTTCACCTTCGAATTTAGTTTGGAATTGGCTCGGGGAGAACTTGCTTACAGGGGGAACCTGGAGTCCTTTAAGACTGGGCCCAAATACTAAAGTCGGCAGTTCTGCGGCAAAGCTAGCATATCTACCTTTTTTTTTGACAGTCCTTTGGCATTCTGAACATCTGCTTCATTTAGCAGCTTGATGGCCGAAACTGCAAGTGGCCACAACTTTTTGGCCAGCCTGTTTAACATGTCTTCTTCCCATGCCGAAGGTGGCGGAGCAGCCGGATTCGTGATCCAACGTCTCTCCCGCAGCCAAAGCACGGGTGAGCTCTTTGTCCTGTGATCAATGAGCGTTCCAGGACTTGTAGTGACAAGCGAGCAGTCTTAGCATATATCGTAGTTGTCTCCTTGGGTGTGCCTGAGGTGTGACGGACTTGGAAGCCCCCCCCCCTGGAATACACGTTTCGAAAGCCTGCTTGAAACTTATGCTGTCCCTGCTGGTCCAACAATCCATTCAGGACTTCTTTTCGGCTAGCGCACGTAGAACATAGACGGAGCCAGTTCCTAGGGTCATCCCTGGCTTTTCTTAGCCACCACGGAACATCTCTCTTGGGATATTCTTCTGGGGGAGTCTTACATGATCACTGGGCCATAATACATCCTCGGCCACCTGGTGGCTCCAGCTACCAGGCAGATGACAAAGAGCTTCGCACAACCTGGTGGGCACCTTTGGTCCTGTCTCCATCAGCCGTTCCAACAGTCGTAGTCTCCTTAGGCTGACGATCGCATGGGAAGGCATAACTTCAGAAACAATGCATGCATCACATGCTGGATGCTGCAGCAAGTTGTCTGCATCCCACGTGAGTGACAAAGCTGCCTTGACAGTGTGAAGTTGAGCTGCCCCGAGGCGTTCCTCCGTCTTTCTTTTTGCTTAGTTTGGGCCACACAGAGCACTTGTGAAAGAGGTGTGAGGAATCACTCGCCTTGGCATATCTAAGAGGATGCTGTTTGTCAATGTCCACGTCTTTGTGACCGTTTTTTGGGACACTCTCTCGAGCCTCTTGGGCTTTTGCAACCCTGGCGGAGATCCCTGGAGCCACGCTGAGGTCCCAACGGGGCTGGAACTCAAGCTACTTCCACTGCTTGGTGGGTTGAATCTTGATGTCATGATGACAAAGCAAGTGAGGGGCACATGTGCACTTGTACAATCATTTAGGGCTCTCTTGGAGCCTCTGCCAAAAGCCACCACATGGTTTCAGTTTTTCCATTCTCGACGTTTGGCGTCATCCCTCGCTTCGTACCAGCCTCGTAAAAAAAGCGATCCTGACTACATCTAGAGCATCTCTCTACATGCTGGGGTCACGCAGGGCAGCCAACGTGACAAGGTCGTCCACATTGGAGAGACCCGTCACGTCGTCAACATTGTCGGTATCCAGGGTGAGAACGTGCTCGACAGGCTGCGCGTGCGGGGCATCTCGCGACATGAGCAAATCATGTCGTACCAAGATAGCAGTTATCTCAACCTGCACCGGCCAAACATTGACGTTCACCAGACAATATGCACGTGACATCCCGACATTTTTTATACACACTAGGGCAGCCTCATGTACATTGCCAACCTCAGACCAAGTTCTGTCTACGCTTGATTTCGGCATGCCCTTCACATGGGCATTATCAGTGCTGTGCAGGATGGCTGGGTTGGCAAGCATCTCCTCAACGGGTTCAACTTGGCAAAAGGGGGATAGCGTTGTTTTGAATGACCTGGCCGAAGTCTCCTGGCCCCCCCATGTCTAGAAGAAATTGCCGAACAACTGAGTGAAACGCGTTTCTTAAATCATTGGGAAGAACAGCAGGGCTCATCTGTTGTAAGGCACAACAAGTCATTGTTAATCAGATCGGAGCTCGTGGCTTTCGATCTTGCTTCGGAGCTCCAATCGAACCATCACAGCTGAACCAGGCCAGACCTGGCCATCATTCTACGTCTTGCACAAACTCTCTCTATAAATTATGTCAGCATGTTCTAGCTGGCCAAATGCAATGCGGGTACCTTTCTCGAGGTCTTGTTTAGACCTGGGGACTCTGCCTTCGGGGTGGTTGCGAATATGGAGCTGCTTTTCACCCCGCAAACTCCCTCAAGGTCCCTAGACCATCCCGCTCAGCCTTGGCCTCAGGGTGAGTGATTTTAGCGTCTAGCTTTTTCGCCTTCTGCTTCAAAGAAGCTGTGCGACATCCTCTCAGGACTCCTCTGACCACTGCCTTAGAGGTCTTGAAGAAATTAGCCATTGGCTTAGTATGGGCTCCATGTTCACATGATCCTTCAATGTACTCATCTACTGTGAACAAGAGGGGAAGGAGCGAGGCCATCCACTCCTCGGGATGGCTAAGCTAGGGAATCTTCCTATTTTGAAAATTTCGGACGAGGCACACTACAGCTGGGGCGCCCTCGTGCCGAAGCGACCTCAAAGTTTTTTGAATTCTTTTCCTGCCACTAACCGCTACAAATGCCTTTTCTGTCGCGTGTGGGGTCTTGGGTACAACCGGTGGCCTAGGAACAAGAGAGAGAGAGAGAGAGACCATTTTGGAGAGGGTGGAGGAGGAGGAGGCGCAGAAGAAGGAGGACCTCCCCATCCTCCCTTTTCCCCGTTCTATCTATGGTAGAGGTGGTGGAAACTCGTTCCATCATCGGCAGCCTTGCCCCCCGGCCCCCACGTGAGCGACGCAGACAACGCGGTTGCCTGCACGGGCATTGGCGCGTAAGCTACCCGCGCACGATCTTGCATGAGGCGCCGTCGTCTTTTCCGATATGGCATGCCGCGCCCGCGGCCCGCGTGAGCCACCGCGCGGGTCGCTGTGCCATCTCGCGTGCGACCCGTTTCTGTTCGTCGCTCGTGCGAAGGCCGTCCGCAGGTGTCCCTCGCGGGCGGGGAGCATCTCGCTCGCTGCAATGTGCGCGGGGGGCGCGGCTGCACGACGACAGCCAGGCTGGCTGGCGGGTGCCGAGCGGCGTCTTCCGCCGCACTGGGGGTGGGCAGCGCTGGCCTCCGCAGGGCGGACGCGCCGGCCGAGGAGCGCCAGCGGCTTGACCGCCGCATCGCGGCGCGGAGCGACGAGAACATCGCCCTGCGGCTACGGCTGCCCCCCTGTCAGGATGAAGCTGTCCCCCCCCCCATCCTCGGTCCGAACATTAAGGGGCTGCACGCACAACGCTTCAGTACCTCTGCGTTGGCGCAGCGCTGTCCCCGCCTGGCGCCCTGTTTTTGCACTTGGCTCGTGATGCGAACGGCACGCGCACGCGCTACACACAGTCGGGGCCCTGAAGAAGGAACCTTTCTCGTTGGGGAGGGGCTCCGCGTTCCGTAAGTGTTTCAGAGCTTGCCGCAGGTTTTCCTTATGCTTTCGATCGGAAATCGAAGTTTAACTTATGGAAAAAAAGGGGCCTCGTTCCTTATTTAGGGTTCCTTAGGTCAACGCCCCGACTGTAGCCGACACCGTATCATGTGGATGTTTGCGAGGGGGGGAGCAAACAACAAAACAGGCGCTGCGCTGCCGCGCTGGCACCTCCGCGCGCGCGGAGGTTGGCCCCAGCGCCGCGGCCGCCATGGCCAGCGCGGCCAGCGCGGCCGGCTGCAGGCTGCTCGTCGCTCGTCGCTCGGCGCGGCCGTTTTCGCGCTCGCGCCGCCTCCCGTGGGAGGGGGGACGTGCCGAACAAGCCCCGGGGGCGCGGAACGCCCTCCCTGCCTCCACCCCCCTCCTCTTCCGCCTCCTCCTCATCCGCCTCCTCCTCCTCCTCCTCCTCCTCCTCCTCCTCCTCCTCCTCCTCCTCCTCCTCCTCCTCCTCTCCTCCTAGAACACCTCTTAGAACACGGACACTCGTCCCAAGTCAGCGTCTTACTTACTTCTTC